GCTGGCAGTCATTTTCTTATATTGGGAGTCTTATACCGTAGGTTTAATAAGCATTATTGACGCATTTTGCTGAATCATAACCTGTCTGCTTATTCGACTCTGCAGTAATACGTGTAAGTAAGACAAGCCTAGAGGAAATGATGCAGTCGAGGTTGTAATCAAGGCTACTCAAGACATGTTAATACATGTTTCAAGTAGGCCCTAACAAACTTTGAAATTTTGGATTTTTTATGGAAAAGAAAAAACTGAAATAAGAGAGACGAAAGGGGTTGGAAATCTCAATCTGCTTGAAAAACAATCCTCATTAATGTCCCACCGCACTTAAATTGTTCACGTTTGTCACATCGTACCTGTATTTTCTCCCCTTGCCCCCGAAAAATATAATAATAATGATACAAAATGTTGCCTGAGCTTGGCTATCGTAGCTCATTAAGCTAGCTGCTATCATTGTGGTGATTAAAATTCAACTTTTTTCACACACACACCGAAGAAATAACTTGACGATCATCAGAAGAGGAATCAACCCAATACTGTCACAATCCATCACGGCCGTTCCACCCACATAGCGCTAGCGGAAAATAAGTCCCGATATTCGTTTGTTCCTTGTTTTCTAACTCCACTCATGCGTGTGACGTCACAGAAGATGGCGCTCCCCGAGCACGGAATTCAGTGCAGAAATAATTCTCGATAAAAAACAGATTAACGCAAAAAATTATATGTCTTATTGATGAAGGACTGTAAAACTAATTTTTCCACTCAGAAATCATAAAATAGATCGCTATTTGCCTCCAGGAACTGTTAACGCTGAAATTTTCTGTGACTTGGTCAACGTACTTGCGTGCAATGTGGACGACGAAAAGACCTCAGAAACAGAGAACCGGGGTGTTCTCCAAAAAACCAATATACACAAATAAAAGGCCAATGTGTAACAAGTTCAAAATGATTCATTTCGTCACTGGGTCAGACCACTGTGTCTGAATCTGCGACGTTGAAATGTACGTTAAAATCACTTCCCAACGTAAAGAATTTTGGTTGGCTCGT